ACAGCATCTCATATACAATTTAGACCCGTATGATGTGCAGACTACCACTACATATATTTCTGATACTGTGAGGAAACAATTGCTTATTTCTGTCAAACACTCAAACCAGAACTAAATAGGAGAACTGAATAACATTAAGGAATATTCCGCAAAATCTCAAGGTTGCTTAAAAAGGTGGAGACAGTGGCTGTAGAGATTCACAGCAGCTACAATGATTCCTATAGACAGCCATGTACTTCACCTCCTCATAGCTCCCCAAAGGTTGCATGTTTAGCGATTCATTTAACAAACAGCTAACAAACTTCTCTCAAGACTGATTTTTGGTGGAGTTTACAGAGGTAGCCTGCAGAGACTGTACTGTAAATAAAGTTGTTACAGACTCATTTTTTTAAATGTGTTTTAAGTAAGCTGATCCTTACCCCTCCTTGCTGCCCTCCACCAGTGGCCCGGCAGGGATCTCCAGGAAGAGGCTGTCTTCTGATAGAGCCGTATCCCAGGAGGCCGAGCGGCGCTCACTCAGTTGGTAGTGGAAGCGGAGAAGAGAGGGGTTCCCACTCACTGGAGCGCCCTGTGTCACTGTTAACTTCTCATCCTGGTTTATTACAGGTGGGACAGACAAAAAAGACAAACAGATTCAGTTGAATTCAATTGTAATTTTTCAGCTTTAATGCTAAAATTCATTTTAAAACTAGAGACTGCTTTGGCTGGAGCACATGAGGGATCAGTCACATATTGTAAAAGTCTAAATTATGAAAGTTTTCCACTTCTGTTTCATCAGAAAATAATAATTCAATTACATTTTTAGTTAATATAGACTCAATTATTGTCGATGTTAAAAGAGCAAATCATCCAACTTGGGAAAGATAACAGGTTACAAATCTCTTAGTGTTTACATTCGGGATTGCACATTGTTGTCACCCACCACACCACTGGGCACTTTAAAAACCAGATAACACATTAAATGTCAAGTGTGAAGAGGACTTTCTGCATCTGAGAGCAGTTCTGAAGTGAAATGAGTCAAAGAGGATGTGGTTGTTGTGTGGGTGTCTTGAAGAAGCTGTATCGTGTCTGCAGCAGACAAGTCCTGGACTGTAACTGATGTGTGGTTTGACAAACCACTTCCATTATTAACTTACTGAGCTTTTGGTCATATTTTTTCAGGCATATCAATTTGTATTGACAGCATCTGACAACTTGGCACGAGTTCTGTGTCAAAAGCAGTGATGATATAAATGTGTGGCCTGTTTGTTTGGTACATTAGTTTATAGTCGTCTAACAATTGGGATGATTTGATTACTGTCAAATGTTTGCATATATTGGATCTGATGTTTTCTTACTCATGAATACTGAGCAGCATTGTCAGTCACTGGATGAAATGATGAAGATGCAATTACGTAATAATGAGTAAATAAATACTGAAGCAGACGCGTTAATCAAGTTATACTGTGTTACACAACTTATATGCCTAACAGCAAATACAATTCTATGTAAATGTAAGCGAGGGTTTGTGTTGTAAATTGTAAACCAGGACTCTGTTACAGAGTTCTGTGCTGGCTGAGGACAGATGAGGATGTCAATATGACAGTTGTGACTGATCTGTCTGATCCTAAATCTCTAATCCCCAGGGACAGTCAGTCACATGTCTGGGGTACAACTTGACACGCATGCTTTCACACACACACACACACACACACACACGCACACACAG